CCCCCAAGCCCCCCCCCCCCCGCCCCCCAAACATCGAAAATAAAAGATAAAAACACTTCTCTTTAGTCTCGATACGACTCTTTCAGCTCGAGAAAAAAAAAATGTACGGAGAATCTGTTGGTGCAGGAGGTCTTTTGTGTACATATGTGGCTGACTTGACGCTTCGCTACACCCGTACCAACTTGAAACGTTAAAAATAGGTCACCGCTGGCTTATGCTCATAACATCGGTTAAGTAAACACTGAAAGAGTCACTTTTTGGTCTGACACGGAGCATCGATTTTATCACGTTTGAAGGTTTAACCGAGGTACGTGTAAATATGGCCATTTCTTTGTTGTTTATTCAAGTACTTAGTGAGGGATAGAAAAAAAATGAGTGTGNTCACCTAAAAAAAAAAAAAAAAAAAAAAAAAAAAAAAAAAAAAAGGGGGGGGGGGGGGGGGGGGGGAGCTACGGAGGGGTTCTCAACTCGATAATTGATGTGCATGATGCAGTTTGTTTAGGAACTGTGGACTTTCATTACAACGTTCACACCTGTTGATCATCTGTCCGGTTACCACTTTTTTTATCGCTCGCTGGTGGACGTAATAGGGCTTTATATCAGTGTAAAGAGATTGTTGGAGGTTCATTAAGCATTTCTGGGGTTCATTGGGTGCCACTGGAGGTTAAGGGTTAGGAGGGCTGGGGTAAAGTCGATGGAGCGATTGCTCGAGAGCAGAACGATTATCTCGAAAACAAGTCATTTGAATTTTGAAATTTTGGCGCCATTGTGCATCGTTTCGAGTAAACCTTTTTTACTCGATTCGTCACCAATTCATTGGGGTAAATCGAAAAAACGGTTTTGACGGATATTTTGATGAGCTGTGGGGCAAAATGGGCTCATGACCACCGGATGGGATCGGAAATTTTCCAAGCGATCTAATGACGTCATCGCTATTCACTTGTCCCTGCAAATTCCCGCGGGAATTTGAATTGCAAAAATTCTCCCCTTCGACTTTAGGAAGTTTTGAGAATCAAAAGAATGCCAAATTATCCGAAAATATTACTTAAAAAAAGGAAAAATCTATCAGAAAAACGAGAAAATTTTCCACATGAGGCTTGAGGCGTGGGGGATCGTTTCCACTAGAGAAAAAAAAACGTGAGAAAAATAATTAAACAGAAATATATTTCGTTCCATTCTTAATAACGTGCACTTAACTACGAAATGTAGAACGAACTCGTACATTTATTTTTTACGGCGTCAGGGAGTGACGTAATTTTGTATGTTTTGTACAGTGAAAAAGTGCCGAGTGAAGAGAAAAAAGCGAGGCAACAAGAGAAAGAGAGAGAGAATAGGTGGAAAAAAAAAATGAAAGAGAAAAATCGTAACCGATCCTTAACGAGCTCCAAATGACCCCCCACTCGTAAAATACTCCTTTGTTCAAGTGTGTTGGACCCACCGAGGAGGCTAATGACCTATTTAAACTCTCGCCCATGACTTTTTGTTTATTTCTCGGGTCGAGGGGCTCAAGGAGGACTCGAAGTGTAACAGAAATGTGAGACGGAGTGAGCGAGATAAGGTGAGTGCGCGCGAGACGGGTCTGGCTTTCGTTTATCAATGCGTCAGACGATACGTGACGTGTCGAGTTACTTGGTGAAGTCATAGCTGTGTTTGATGGTTAATCGTGTTGAGGATAATTTTTACTCGATGGTTTTTGTGGGATCGAGGGAGCATGGTGTTGATGGGCTCTTCTCTCCCTTTACCTGTCCCACCGGCTCAATTGCGGATCCACCAGAACATAACGCAGACGACCACCTCGACTTTTACAGATTATGCTCGAAAGATAATTTTGATTCACTCGAACGAGTTATGTCGATGGGTTTTTATGGTTTTATG